TTGGAAACCTTCCTTAACAAAAAGAAGCTGTCTCTGGAGGAGGACTGTTTTTTTTCAGTTATCGGGATGCTGTGGCAATAAATGGCTAGTTCAGTATGCCCGTTGAAAGAGATTAGGGCAGAAAGAGCCTGAAAATGTCTTACCTTCTAGTGCAGGAAAAATTTTAAACTGCTGGTAGAGATCATACATGTGGTGTGATGGTGGAAGTACCCAATGACATTTTGACACAGTAAAACCTTAGTTTTTTGGTGTCGTGGTTTGTGCAGGCCTTCAGGAACAGGAATAACTGCTTTGGTTTTGTGTGGGGCGGGGCAGGTTAGCAAGAATCTTTTCTAACTAAGATGCTGTTGAACTTACCACTTCAAAACCAAGTCACTGTTGTAGAGTTAGAAATGTAGTTTTAATTCAGGGCCACTTTGCTAGGATAATCCAATACATCTAGCTTCCTCATTTAAACTTAATATTTCTGAGGACTTCCGTTTCTTAATAAACTAAAATCGAAAGGAGCATTGGAAATGATGAAAAAAAATTAAGGAGTGTGCGAGGGAGGGCGGTAGACTGACTCAGCCACTTCAGTACCTTTAAGACTCCGCTGCAGTGCTATTGCGTTGTCCAGTACAGCGTTTCCTTCCTGAAGAGGAGGAGAATTAATGAACTATGCACGTACTTAGAGCAAGAACTGGAAGAGTTAATGATGAATAGTGTATAGATTTGGCAGAAGAAATATATAGATATGTGCCATAATGTGCTCACGTTTTGGCAACTTAACTTGAGACAAATGATGACATGAGAAAACTCCCTCCTGGTTGTCCTTTTGCTGTGTCGTTGTTCCACCGGCAGGCGCTACATCCTGACCAAAAGGAAGCAGTGCTGCAGGACTTGTTATCACAAGCAAGCCCACAAAATACTGACTACATCTTAAAAATCCTGATGTTTCTTTTTAAACTTTTTAGTAGGTTTTTTTGTGCTTTTTCCGCTGTCCCTTTAGATTTCAAGGTCCACTCAAAGCACACTTTCAAGCTCACTTCCCTTCCTCCCCTACAAGGGCTAGGAATTTGCGGTCTGAGTGAGCTGAAATTTTCATGCTGTCAGGTAATTGCAGCAGCAACAAGTTAAACTGTCACAAGGCTAGGTATGGAGCTAAGATTGTTTTAAGATGAGTAGTGTTTAATTTAGTAGTAACCACTTTTTAGTTAAATATTTATTAACTATTTACATCAGCAATAGTCAAAGGTGCTTTACTAAATAACTAGGACAGATGGAAAAGCCTGCATTGTATTATTAACAACCTAATTTTAAGCAAGAAAGCAAAAGGAAGGCTTACAAGTGTTATGAAAAAAGGCAATCGTAGTATGGTCATGTGATTGCCCTGTCCAACAACTGTAGTTTCCTGCATGATTATTTTATTCTGTGGCATGGCTGCATCAACTGCCTATGTAAGTTGAAAGATAAACAGAGGCTATGAGATAGTGGCTCCTATCAGATACCACGCTTACTGAAGTAGCAAAATAAAGACTAACTGTAAGTAAAGATGCAGTTCTGACAAGGACGTTGGTTCCCCACTTCCACCAAGGGAAGAAAAAATTAGCCTCTGGGCTTATATAGCTAATTTGTCATATACCCAAGTGCGCCTCTGTAGTGGGTTGATGGGAGCCGGGGTGGGCCCATCTGTCCATAGGAGATGCAGGCTGATCTCTGAGACCTCTTAATATTGTAACAGAGTCTGTCTTGTCTAATTCTGTAACTGTAGCTCTGCTTTGGCAGAGGTGGGAAGTGGAACAGCTGAAATTAGCTTAGATTCCTATTAAAAAATGCCCATCGATCTTTTTACAACACTTACGCATCCCATTGCTTGCTTACGTTCAGAAAATTGACCAGCTAACACAGTTAATGTCGCATGTTGGTATGCTGGGGTTCCTTGCCCCTTTCATTGTGTGAATCACTGTAGGCTTTTCGGAAAAAGGAGGGAATTGAATAGTTGAGTTCCAGCTTTGTCCTCCTTGTTTTGCTTAACCCTGACTGACCTTGACCTAAGGGCACCATGACCTCTGTCAGTCAGGTTGATGGGCTTAAATCAAGATGCCGGGTCTCGTGTTGTGTTAAATAAGCTGGAATGTGACTGTCATTTTACATCTGAACTGTGTCTTCTCAATTGCCTATTTTCTTGCATCTCTGACTGGGGGAATTTTCTAGTGCAATATTTGCATTGTAGGAGTTTGTTTTCCTTTGATTAACTTTCTATAACACTCAGCTATTTTAAAATAGGAAGGGAGAGCTGGAAAATGCTGTCATCATTAAAAATACACCCAGAATAGTTTCTTCTGTAAACAAGGCAGTGGTTCTGTTTACTAAACCAGGTTAAGAAAGTCTTCACTAAAAAGACCGTCTTTCTTGACTACAGAACTTTCTCTTCAGAGCACTGAATGAAGCCGGGCACTGGGGGATGGGATGGTGAGAAAAAACTTGTATAATTAAAGACCATTTTATGTTCCGAAGAGCTGAGTTAGGTACACCCTTAACGATGCTACATTATCATGTGTGTGCCAGGCTGAATATCCTACATAAGATACTGAAAGTTGTTACACATTCCGTATGATCCTGTTTGAAGAACGATGTTGACTTACGTTCTCTTGTTTTAATGAATTTTTTGCAGGCTATATGAATATCTTTGTAAATAATTTACAAACAGAACAATTTTTTTCTCTGTTTGTGAATAATACTGTTGTGAATAATAGTGTTATGTATAATATTTTTGTTTTTAAAAGACCCTTTATGGGCAGCTTTGCCTTGTCTCTTCTCTGTTTTGTAGCTTGGTCTGACTCTTCAGCAAGATTCTCTTTTACATTGAAGTCACCAAAATCAGCAATTTAATCAGTTGTTAATTTAGTAACTTTATCTGAAGAGCTGGTTCATTATGGTCTATTGTTTAACTGAAGTTTGCATTGATTGAATTAGGGAGTAAAAAGTAAACAGTTGATTTCCACTTTAGTGGGATATTTTAGCAAACTTTTGCAAAGCAGGAGGGGGTAAAAATACTGACAATGAAAAAAAACCCAAAGAGCGCAGTATCTTTTTCAAATAAATGAGCCAATTGCTGTTGATGACACTTGACTAAACCCAGTAGGTGAGTTTCCTTGTAACATTCTTGCAGTTTTAGGAAAAAAAAATTATTGCAAAAACTCAGGGTTTGCTCTAGAAGTTGAGTGTGACTGTCCAAAAAAATTTGCAGTGACTCTTTAAGGAGAGTCAAGGGAGTTGGAGCTGTAAGGGAGGCAGTGTTACTTCCCAACCAGGAATGAAAGGTTGAAATTGCAGCAGCTCCAGCCTATGAGTATTTCATCCAGAACAGAGCAGGACAGCCTGGAGGATATACTTAAGGTTGATAGATTATAGCTTGTTCATTGCATGGCTTTGTTACTGGTAGGTGCTATTATAAAACACCATCTCTGACCCTACAGTTAAACTCCTGTGAAGGATATGGGGGGGGAAAAAATAAGGAAGTGGTGGCTTGTTGCATTCAAGTCATTGTAACAAATAGTTCACTGTTAGGTACTTCTTCAGGGTGGAACCATGTGAGTGACAGTAGTTTGCTTCTCAATTTCTAATAACAAAATGCAGCGCGCTCTGGTAGTTTCTTAGCCTTTAATACAAGGTATGATGTTAAGATATTACTAGCATAAAGCATATTGCTATAAATCACTTGGACTATATCTACCTTGAGTTTTATTGCCTTAGGGCTGTTTAACACAGGTTTAAGAGAACAGCAACTCTAAATATTCTAAAAAGCAACATGGAATTTTAAAAAAGAAAATAAAAAAGGAAAAAAATCATAAAGTCAAAGGCTCTGCTCTTGGAAAATGCAACAGTATGTTTGGATATGGCTTGGTTTTGCTGGACAGCTGTTTGTTACCTTCACTTTAAAATATAGATACACAAGTTGGTGTTTATGCATTGTGTGCATTGAACCTACTTACCGTGATAGGGGGAGAAGTGAAAATGATAGAAGTATATAGCTCTCGAGTAAATTTCCACAGTAACTTGTGGCCAGAATGGCTATTTTGGACTTTCAGAAGATTAAGCAACAACAGTTCCTTCATAGCTACTGAAAGGGCAGCTCAGTGTGTAGATATGAGCAATGCAGAACTTGCTTTTCCCCCAATGTGTCTTGCCAGATACATGAGCTTCTGATATTTCTGTAGTTTTCTTTTACTAGACTGTGCAATGAGGTGAAAACTCTATTTGAAAAACAAACACTTTCTCTGCTGTTTCTCCATAACTTAGTAAGTTCCACAGATTGGGTCCTAACTTCTCTTCCTCGCTTTGCAATGTGTGAAAATATATTTTTCTGTCACTTGAGCAAAGAAGTCTGGCCTGTGTCAGGAGCTGGAGACTGTGCAGGACACGAGGGCATAAGTAGACAGCTTCAGTGCAGCTTTAAATTTGAGAATATTCAGTGATCGTGTAAAAGCCAGTAGCGATTTGTGGCACCTCATACCCTGTTCTGCTTCATCAGCATCAGTCTATCTGCTCTGCCTCCTTCAAAGTGCCAGTGCTTGTTTAACTGTGTAATTACGGAAACTGATAGTGGGTGGCTCAAGAAAGAGGAGAGGCACAGGTACCTGTGAAGGCCATCTTCTGACCAAAGAGGCTGGTTTCTTTGGGCTGCCAGTGGACAGAAAGGAGCTCCTACTCTGACATGCTTCTGGAAGAGCCCTTCTTCCTCCTGTGTCTTCAGAGAGAACCTAGAGTGAGCCTCTCTCAATGCTTCTGTGCAGAGTATGCACATGTGGTAGGTGCAAGGCAGCATTCAGCTCCTGTCACTGGGACTTTGTGTGAGAAATCAAACTGGAGTGATCCCCCATCAAATTTGTGGTTGTGAAGAATGGCTGTAATAATGATGATTTCCTTCCATAGGTTTCAAGATGCTTTATAAAAGTTCATGTTAATAGCATAACTTGAATTTAAATTTCTTGTTTTGTTTTTCTTATATTTCAGGTCTACCAGTCATGAAACGAATTCTTCTATTTTTTATCCTGGCTGCTGCTGTTATGTATGGTATACTGCATGGAAATCTGTGGAGAAATAACCTCTACTGGTATGGTGATGCTTTTTCACTTACAGTGCAAACATCCTCATGGCTGTATGAGAGATGTGGCTGTGAGTTGCTGTGTTGCTGAACAGTTGTTTACTAGTAATCAATAGAAGCGATTACTACTCTGTGTGTGTTTGTGTGTGTTTTGTGGTTGGTTTTTTTTTTTTTGTACTGTCAGGGAATGAATGTGATCATTCTGTCATGTCGCCCCGTCTTTCGTGTCACTTTTAAACCTAGTAGTTGATTTGAGCCTGGTTGTACGGAGAGGTCAGGACCTCAGAGCCCCTCTGAGTTTCATGAAAATAGGTGTTCAGGTGAGGAGAGTTACCTTATTTGTTTGTGTCACGTATCCATATCTCCTCTCACCCCATGTGTGTTTAGTGTTAGCTTGTTCCTTTAGGTGTCTGATAAATGATGTGGGAGAGACCTCCTGCATGCATGGGATTAACTGCAGGTGTAGTGGGCACCTTTTGAAAAGCTGAAATTTGTCGAGTCCCGGTGGCAACCTTGTGGGAAGTGAGCCTTTGCTGTCTCCAGGCTGCACGGAACAGGTGGCTTGGGACCTAAAATTCAGGGCTCTTATGGAAGAAGTTGAGTTTCCATTGGCCTTTGCATAGCTGTGACCAGGACTGACCAGTGTGTTTGTGTTATGAAGGTAATAGTGGTAGCTTTTGAAAGTAGTGATTGATGTGCCTCTGTTTGTCTTGTTTATAGCATACAACTGATACGAATGGCTTTCTGTTGTGGTTTCTGTTTATAGCAAACCACAGTGGAGTGACATTTCCCTTTTTGCAGGATTAGCTTTTATGGACAGACTTCCTCTGTGAGGGCTCCTCCTTCCTATGAGACTAGTGGAGTTACCCAGTAAGTTCAGCAGTTGAGTATTTGTGGGGGTTTTTTGTTTGGTTGATTGGTTTTTGGGCAGGTGGGAGGGATTGAGACTAAAATCAGTAGCCTTTGTCTTTAGGCTCCCTCTGTTCAATTGGTTATTGTACAGCTGTGTCCATTGGCTGTTTCTGTTATGAACACAATTGTAACATGTCTGGCAGAAAGGAATTTGTCCATGTCATGTTTCCAGTGTTTGGTTAATATTTATGGCCACTTAGAGTGACTGTCTGTGACAAGCAATGAATTGTTGGAAGGAGATCTGTTTACAACTTCCAAATTTCTGCAATTCTGAGTTATACCTGAATAAAATTAGCAGAGCTACAAGGGCAACTTTTGTGCTTAAAATCTAATAAATCAGAGGTGTGGTTCAGCTGTGATGTGCAAGTGCATGTATAAGCAGATCTTGTGCTAGTAAATTCCTGCAATTAGGTTTGTGGGACTAATGAGTGCCTCTGCTAAAACTTAAAAGCAGGCCTCTGCTCTCTCTGAAGCCATCCTGCAAAATGCCATCTGTGAGGCTGATGCTGGAAAGCAATGAGCTGGCCAGCTGATACATTTCACAGGGTGCTTTCTCAGTGTCAGTATTCACATGACAACTTGAGGTTACCAAAAGCAATTAACCTTAATGGTCTGTTTGGCTTGTGGTTTTAATGTGGTGGTTTCATCTTTCTGTTCTTAATGCAGCCCAGATGCACACATTGCTCACACTGAACTTTACCCTCCCTTCTGGGCTTCGTATTTGTTATTAATTGGGCTAAATCGCCAAGGCGGGAATGTGCTTAGAAGTGTAAGTCTTAGTCTTATTATGAGAGGAATGACTTATCCCCAAAGAATCTCATTTTCCTTGAAGTACCCTATGTGGTGCTGTCTATTCCCCTCTCCAAACAAGACTACTCCCCTCTCCTCTCTGAGGAGCACTGGTGATGCTATCTGGTATGGCTGCAGGGGTGATTCAGCCCCGGTGTCCTGCTTCTCTGGAAGGTGGGCCTGAGGTCTCACCTCTGGTTATGGCTGCTTTGATAGTTGCCGAGCAAGGGAGGTTGCAGACCCCTTGGAGCAGCACCGTGAGATAAAAGCCTTTACTAGTAAAAGTAATCGTACTGCAATGAGAAAGATCCATCTTTATAATAGAGACAGAGACAATCATGAAAATCTGGTGTGTTGTTAACTCAGTAATCAGCTTTTACTAATTTGGCTTGTCCCACTTTTCCTACCTTGTTGCTGCTACCTGTTCCTGTTTTTGCTATTTCTTTGAAATTCGTCTTTTGCAGGCTGCCACCTACGGCTGTGGAGAGAAGGAATGCGCTGGACACTTGCCTCCTGAAACCAACATTTGAATCTTTACTGGGGTGAGTCTTACGTGGGAAGTCGGGGGGAAGGAAAGGCTGTGCTGATTGGGATAGAAATGGGCTATTTACATATTCTGGACTATTTCACATTTGATTCACCTCTTGCAGTACAGCTTTTGGGCTTGGGTTCATTGCTGCTTTTCCTGGATGTGGCAATACAAATTGTTTAGCTTTCCACTGATCAGCATATGAGCAATACCACACAACTAACTCAGGATGCTGGTGTATCTACTGAATAAATAAATCCTTCCTGTTCAGATATTGTTGTTAGTAACAGTGAAACTATTTTAATGATTGAAATACAAGCCTTAACTTTTCTTTTCTCCATGCTTTTCTTGTAAAAGAAGCCTTCATGTCCAAGACCAAAACTCAGTCATTCTACTATTAAGAACCTAGACTTAAAAGATTAAGATTTTTTGGTAGCTAAGTATTTCTGTAGCAGCCAGGGACCAGAGAAGTTTTCATAGAATCATAGAATCATTAAGATTGGAAAAGACCTCTAAGATCATCAAGTCCAACCGTCAACCCAACACTACCATGCCCACTAAACCATGTCCCTAAGAAAAAATCTCTTCATGAAAATCTCTTCATTTTATTTGGAAGGAGTATGAAATGTGCAAAAATTCATCCAATCTTTAATGATATAGATTCTTCCCCTTCAATGGAATTTTAATGGAATTTAATTTTAATGAAATTTGGGATTATTCATGTTTTTGTTCCTCTGATAGTATTGTTGAATTGCGTGTAGGTGTCCTCCACCTTAAGGTACTCATAGGAAGCTTCCTTTGTAAAGAAGCAGTCAGATGAAAAAAGGAGGAGCTTCAACCCAAAACAAAGGAGGTGTCTGGTCACAAAACTACATCCAAGAGGTTTGTGAGGAAATACTGGGAGTTTTGTTATTAGAAGCACAAGTCTTAAATGAGAGATCAAGGAAGTGTTACAGGACCAGAAGCAGACAGGCTATATTGTTGGCTTTATGTTTTACCTGAGCAAACATTGAGCATGGCCCTGAGAAAGCCTGGGAAGATGTTTAGACCAAGTCCTGGCTGAAGGAGTCATAAAGCTCCAGGCAAAGACACCATTGTTTCTTTTTTTTTTTTTGTCCTTTTTGTGTACAAGAAAACATGGCTTTAATTCAGTGCTATTGTTGTTTTAAAGAACATGGAAGGATCTCAAGTTTGTCCTCCCCAAAGCAGTCCTGTAGTCTTTGATTTTGGTTCGCTCCCTGGCCCAGTGAGGTGGTCCTAGGTCCCTTGCCCACGGAGTGTGCCCAGGCTGTCTCTGTGTCAGGCACAGCAGGACAGCTCTGGTGCTGAGCAAGGGGGCAGAAATGGGAGCAGAGATGCACAGCCAGAAGAAGGTAGGTGCAGAGCTAGAACAGTCTCTTGCATATTTCCATAGCTCCTTTACAGAGAGAGTTTGCGCGAGCTGAAGATCTGGTCTGTGCGCTTTGGTAATAGCCTGGGGAGGTTGAAAGGATTTCTAACCTGGCAGAATTATTTATTGGACAGGAACCAGAGCTAGAAGAGCTAGAATTAAGAATCTCTTTGCAGTAGGTAAATTATTTATTATGTCTAAGCTTACCAGCTGCTTCTGAACAGCAAGGCAAGTTATTAAATTTAATATGAGTGTTTAGTGCATGATGTCTCAAAGTTAGCTGGTCTTGCTTAGTTAACCTATGGCCCAGTTCTTGGTGTGTGGTCTGTGGTGGCTTTTTTGTTTGTTTTGGTTTGGCTTTTTTTGTTTTGTTTTCTTTTTCCTTTTTACTGTTAGTATCTTCTGAATATGTAGAGCTTAAAGAGTGAGATATTTGATTTGTGAAACTGAGAGGGAGGGGTTTTTTTAACAGCTATTAATATTCTTAATGGAGAAACAAGTCATATGCTGGTTGTGGGTATTTATGATCAACTAGGTTTTCTTACTGTGACTGTATACTTGTGTGTTAATATTTTAATGTAAGACCTAGTATGCAGCATCGCTACAAAGTCAACCAGTTCAGTGAGTGCGTGTCCACTTAACTCCAAGGTGAAGCCAAGGGCATGGTAGCATGTGACGGGGTTGGATCTGCTGTTCATTCATTTGGCTTGACTTGGCAGATATGGTAATAAGAGTCCCTTCCCTGCTATGAGATAACCCTTGTCTCTGGTCACTGTCTTTTGAAGAAAAAAGTGACCCATTCTTTCTATCTTGATGCTTATAAGGTATGACACCATCATGTTCTAGTTTGCAGGAGGAATGCACTTTCGAGGCAAACCTCCTTGTGATCCCTATGCGCCATGCTTCTCATTGCAGGGCAGCCCTGGCACACATGCACTGGCTTCTTTCAGACATCTGACTTCTGGCTAAGCCAGAAGATGCACTGCAGGAGCACACCTGATGTGCTGCAGCTGCTGAGGGTTGTTCAATCTGTGGGACCCTACTAGAGTTAGTCCAGAGTAAAAGAAAAAAACCAAACAAACCCCGAGATGTGGACATGAGAACTCCATACTTTTTTGCTGTATGGATATACTCCGGTTGCCCCAAACTACTTACTAATGTCAACACAGCCATAAAGTGCCACTTGTTTGGAATGGGAGCGCATCTCAAATAAGCCGATGTGTTCAGGAGATGGTATTTTCAAGTTAAAACACCTTGTTTCAAATTCCATTCTTATTTATTAAATTGCCATATATAATAATAACTCTTACTTCTCCTTGCTGCCTCTGTTATGTACTTTTCAAACCTGAAGTTATTCATTGTCTTCCTGGGTTATGTATTCTATTAAATATGCTGTCTCATGGTGCTTTCATGTCATGTGATTTTATATATAACTTATACTAGCAATCATTTTATCTCACTCTACCTATATTTTCCAGTATAAAATCTTCCCCTTTTCTGTCACCTGCTTTCTTTCCCTGTGTTCTAGTTTTTCTTCTTTTAAAAATTGATAATACTTGAAGTAGGATAAAGAAAGCTTTTTTTTAAAAGCAATTGCATGTATTATTGGCTTATTCAAATACATCATGTGGATTTTTGAAACTTCTTACTTTTTCCCTTCATTAGTGTTGACAAAATATACCCATTCCTGTGCGCTAATGATTTTATCAGAGTGGCAGAGTTCCACGGGAGCGATAAGTTTGAACTACCTTATGGAATAAAGAGAGCAGGTTTGTGTTCCCATGTACCTTGTTTTTAAACGGAAATACCTGAATGGCGTGAAAGCCACCAGAATCTCTGGCCTTGGTCTTTCCTGTTCGCCGATGCCAGTCCTTTTGGGTGTATCTAGCAATGACTTAATGGTTTCATTTAGTCCCTCTGACCTGGCACCATCCTATTTTTAACAAACAAAACACCGTGTTGGGGTTGCCCCTCTTAGCAGAGAAGCTCCAAAAAGGGGTGGGAGTGAGCAGTAGTGGAGCTTATTCAGCTTCCTTTTGTTTGTATGTGGGCTGGAGTGCTAAAGATATTTAGCTAGTGCTTTGCTAGGTGAAACATTAGCTGTGTCAGTGTGATGGGGTTCGATCAACACACCTAAGCCGATTGGGATCCAGAGTCCTACTGAGGCAGAAGTCCCCAGGTTGGGGCAGTTATATCAGCAAAATTTTCCTTTTGCTGGGCTAGCTTCTCCCACCAGGGAAGGTGTCGCTGGGGCTGCAGGGTGTGTTCCCGCCGTTACGTGGCTGCTGTACCTGTGCAAAGTGTTTGGTTGCTCATGCCTGCTGCCCGTGTTGGTCAGGGCAGAGTAAACAAGGCCAGAGACCCTAAGGGTCTCAGTCGCCCTTTTGGAAAGGGTTGTAAAGTCTCAAGTCTCAGAGTTTTTAACACTGAACAGTGCACCTTCCTAGTACCCTGCAGGTCTGGGCGTTAGACTCTCGATTTGCCCTCCACGAGTGTAACAAGGATGGTGCATTTTGCTGCACCTCTGGGGTTGCGGTGAGGAAAAGTACCTTTGGGAATGAGTTGAGGCCCCCTCTCAGTTAGAGGCACGTTGAGTGTCCAGCAGGCGCCTGCTCACCAAGGGAGGGCTGGGAAGGTGTCTCTGCCCAGCTTTGCCAGTGAGCACAGGCTGGTTTGATACCTTCTCCCAAGATACATAATGCTGTTCCTGTCCCTGGCTGTGCGACCCTTCCTCTTGGGTCAAGGCTGCTTCTGTTTCAGCTGAAGGTGGGTAGAAGAAAAAACGAAGTCAGTTAGGATGCAGGTCTTGGATACTCTTCTGATGCTTATTGACTGTAACTAAGATTTTTTTGATACAAATCCCATGCTGTTTTCCAACAGGGGAGTGTTGGGGCAGGAAAAGCTTCCTAGAGAGGAGCTCTGATAAACCTGAATTTCTCTGGCATCATTCATTGACCTGTGACCCTAAATTACAAGTGTTCTTATTTTGAGTTTTTTATGCACAGTGCATAAAAACTACTGTGTCTGAAAATGCTGTAGTCAGGGTGGCATGCTTATTTTTATATTGGAAAGCACTGAACATTTTCATTAATCTTGTTTATATTTGCTTTCTAGAGCAATTTTTTCGTTTAGCACTTTCAAGACTGCAGAACTGTGGACTTTCCAGTGAAGATGACAGGTGAGATGGTTTATTTGCTACTGTTTCTGTTCATTGCATTTTTAATATTTATCTGAAAAAGAATGTCAGTGGCGTTATCCTGAAGTTGCTCAAGTTAGCCAAGATGCAGATCAGACCAACAGTGTCCACGCAATATGTAACTGATTCCAAGATTTAAATAAGTTTGATTTTAAACATATGTAGCACCAGCATTCAAGAATAATTTTTCTGTGAGGGAGCTTAAACTTACAGATTTCTCTTTGTAAGTGTGTTAGGAATTTGCTAGCTGAATGCAGTCCTATCTTCCTGTAGTATCTTTTTATACTTGAGGAAGGTGAAACCACCCCTTAAAAACTGGACGCGATCTCCTCTTTCAAAGTCACTATTAGTGTAAGCTAGAGAATGTTTGAGGTGAGCAGATGCAAACCAATGACTGTTTCTACGCAAAAGAAATCTTACACATATTCCCATGCCGCTGCACCTGCTGGCCTACTGCACGCCCTTGGTCGTGTGTATGCTCAGCTTCCTTTTCCCGTGAATGAGGGAGATGGAGGCAGCCAGGAAAGGCTGTTCCTGGCATTTTGGGAGTAACCAGGGTGTGGCGTGGAGCGGAGCATGCCTTAGATAACTCGCTTCCCATGCCTTAGATTGGCCTGTTTAAATCTCTTGGTTAGAAGCCACTTCTGCCGGGATTTTTTGTTTGGTTTTGGGGAGTCTTTCTGTGTTTGTCGTCATGTTGCTGGGGTTTGTTTTGTTTGGGTTTTTCTTTTGTTTGTTTTGGGGTTTTTTTTTTGGAGATAGTATACTTGCCAACCCTAGTACACTAAAATCCTGTGTTTACCAAGTGATGCAAATGACTTCTTAGATTTGCAGTCTAGCAAACGGGCTGACAACCTGCCATATATCATGTTAATATGCAGACTTCTTAATAGAGTTGAATGCAAATAATGCTGAGGTTGGCTGTACTTGGTTTTGTTTTTTAATCAAGGAGATCAAACAGAAGATTGTTGCTTCAAGCCAAATGCCAGGATCACATTTTAATTAAACTTGGGTCAAAATAATTGGTGTTAAAGCCTAAGAATTATCTTAGTTTTAATACCCAGTTTTCCTTTTCTTCACCTACTGTACTCCTTTCTTTCCCTGTGTTTAGTATTTATTTCTAGGATATTCTTGTGTTAAGGAGAAGGGAAAAAAAAAAAGGAAAAAATCCTGTTTTCTATCAGGAGTGTGGTAATTGGGGAAATTTATACAGAATTGGCTGACAAAGGCTAGTCTTTTGTCTGGAGTTTGAAGGAGAATGCCAAATGTTGTATTAGAAATTTCCTGAAATCACAAGTTCAGCACTATAATCATTTTGGCTGTGGAGTAGAGACGCTTGCAGTACAGCATAGTACCTTTTAAATAGAAATGTCTGTCCTATAGATCAAAAGTAAGGTAATTGATATTTTTCCTTTGAATGTAGGTTCTCTGAGATATAGATATGTTTAGTGGTTCTGGGAAGTATGCTTCATTTTCATAAAAGTAATATACTTCAGCAGTACTGAAGCAAAATGAGAACTATTACTATTTAATAGGCAGTAGTATAAAGAAATCAAATATACAATGACTTCATACAATATATTCTTTCTAGATCCATCAGGTTTTGTGTATAGCACTGTTAGGGCATGAATCTGTAGTAAGGAAGAGCTTTTTAAATGTGAAACACTTTGGGAATTAATCCTAACAACATTCTCTGGTAATACAGAATTATTAGGCAGCTCTGTAATGCTGCTGCCTTATTCAGCCTTCTTGGCAGAATGCAAACTGAATTTCCCTATAAACTTTTCTTGGAGCAGAGTGGGGGAACCTGCTATAAAGTATTTTAACAAATATTAGGCTATATGAGCACCAAACCTATGGTGCTTATATAGCTGTATTTGTGTGCAATTTAGGTAAAACTGTACATAGTGAGATACAAAAGATTTTTTTCTGATCAGTGCCGTTTTCCAAACTTAGGTGGAATTCCCACTGTGTAAAAGTCTAGTTCTCCAAAACTGTTTGGAAGTGAACAGTGTCACTGACTTCAGTGGAATAACCTGTAGGAGGAGGGTTTTCCAGGCTAGGGGTATATCCACAGAGTAACCTCTGAACACCCGCTCTACCCATTTCTGCATAATTACTCGCTGAGCACTCACTCTCAGGACTCTAAGCTCAACAGCAGTAAATTCTTACAAATGCATTTACACAATCCTGAGTCAACAAAATGTGACCTCTGCATTCTCCCTTTACCAAATAACCTCAAAGGAAATAATTTGCATTCCTCAACTGACTACGGGGGAGGGGGTGTTAAAGGAGTTGAGGTTGAGATCTTCTTTTTCCTTTTCCAGAGAAACAGTATTTCAGTGGAATGTGGAGGATGCAAGCCTTTTGACCTTTGAAGGCGACATTTCCATTTAACAATATTTCTTTATAGACTAGGCAAATGTTTCTTTTAGCATTTTGCCATATAAACAAAATATGTAAACTAATGCCTCGCCTTGAGATTAAGAGGCTCTTGTACACCACGTGAATGGTTTGAGTGACTAAAGGGATTGCATTTAGATGTTGGAGATCAGTTACCATGCAATTTGCATCAGGATCCATTTATACTCTAAGTAGATCTCTAACACGTAAATGCAATCCCGTAGTCACTCAAACCATTGCTATAGCAATTGTTATAGCTGAGGTCTTAATATTTCTCACCTTCATCAATATTGTGCTGGTGGTTGTGAGCTGGACCTCCAGACATTCAGTCTATTTTATTTCACTTGTAGCACACCTGATGTTGTTTAAGGACATCTGAATTTTTTTCTCTTCTTGCCAATTTATTGACTTGGAGAAAGAGTGAGTGTTACTCACCCTTTGGGGTGAGCGTTTGGGTTTTTTTTTAATACGAAAAGATTAGGAAAAAGGAAACTTTTAAGAAGTGGGGTTGGTAAAATATCTGGGAGTAACAGTCTGCTGAAAATGAACGTGTTTATTTCTGTGCTCTACAGTAAGTACAGGTCAGTTTATTTAACTTAAATATCTTTGAATACAGTCCAGCCTTGCTACATATTCTTTATCTCCATTTCATATGTCGGTTTCCTATGATACTGTGTTCTGTTCTTTTACTCTAGCATAAACCATTTCCCTCCCCGCTTATCGTTGTCAGTGGAATCTGTGCTACTGTGGACGTAGACCTACGATCGTAACTGGAGACACTTGAACACTGTGGGGGGGGCGGCCCTAAGGGGAGGAGACAATTCAGAAATAGCACGTTCGTGCCAGACTTGAGTTGGCCCGCTTCAACTTCCTGAGCTTGACAGAGATCAAAAGCTGGTCTTTCTAATTCGTTTGACTGTGTTTATGACTGTATTCATGTACAATTAATCAGGAGTATTTGATCTGCTTGTTGACTCTATCCATTTCAAAAGTTCACATACCAATGTTAGATGCTTTACTGGTTAGTTGAAGGCAGCTGATAACTTTATTTTTGAGTATGCGTTTTATTAAGGGCACTGGCGTTTGAAAGCTTAATCAAACTTCAAATTTCACTCCGTTTTCCATCCAAGTAGTATTAGTCAACTCTTAGCCATGAACAAGATCTGGTCTGCATCCATCAGTAACAGGGAATAGAGTTCAGATTTGACTTGAGAGCAGCCACCCAGCTTCTATAGCTGCGCAAACCTCAGTTGCCCAGCTCTAAAGTCACTTTTTATTTTACCCTCTCTGCCCTGAGTGTGTCCTGCTGCATCACAACTGCACAGTGCAGAGGAGAAACCAAAGAGTGGAAGGCATTATTTCAATAGCTAAGGACTGACATAGTGAAAAAGCTTCTTAAATCATAGTCTCCGCCAAAAAATGGAAGGTATGTAATAAGGAATCACTTAAAGTTCATCTACAAGGGGCGGAACAAGCAGCGCCTCCTCAGAGTAACCTTTTGGCTGCTTATCATGGTCAGAATATCACTTACCACGATCATACAAATCACTTGTAATGGAATTGACATAGTTTTTGTGAATTCACAACAAGTAGTTGGAGAGTATTAAAAAAATATTCAGCAAGATTAGAAGCTATTTTTCTGGCTTTTTATTGAGACCTGAAGATGGGTTCATGCATGGTGTGCCAGTCACTGCCAAACCAGGGTGTCCACCAAGTGTCGGGGACGGATGCTATAGCCAGGAGGTACCACCAGGAGTTGGAGTGTGAGTAGCAGTTTCGGATTTGCATTGTGGTGATGAGGTTTGTACCTCAGTTACCCAGCTGCGGCCGCGTAACTTTTGGTGTCACTGAATTCAGAGGTTTGAGATGATTGAAACTTTCAGTGGTTTACAGAGGCATGCTGTAAATGACAGGAAAACATGATACAACCATATGCTAATTCTGCGCTTTTTCCCCCTCTCCCTCATTCCACCTTCATCACTTACTGATGGCGTTTTTTGTCCAGTTGTCCTGTTTCCTTCCTGTTTCTCCTCGCTGTTGCTTCTCTGTAGCCCAGGATCTGGCTTTGAGCTCTATGATACAGCTGCAAGTAACAAAGTATAATTTGGGAAAAGGGTAACTGCTGGTCCCTTCCTTGTACACTTTGCAAGAGGCATACGTTCATCAGCCTGCTTTCTCAGGATATCTTAAAACTAGATTGAAAAACTAATTTGAAAATGAATGGGCTGAAGCAGTCCTGGAGTAGAGAGGGAAGGGTTTTGTGGGTGTAGAGGGAATGGGCATACTGAGGACAGGATGGTGTAACAGGTTTTCACCCCTCTGATTTCTGTGGTACCGAGTCACATGGACTTACGACATTAGCTGGAAATCTTTTTATGAATGCTTGGCTTCTACTAAGCTGCTCAGGAAACACTAGAGAAAGGTGTGCCAGCTTTTTCCATGTCACCCCACCCTGAGAGTTGCATTTAGCAGCACTATTTTTATTTTTATATATATGTAAAA